GATGGTTTAGCTAAAGGAAATTCGACAACGGTTTTGTCGAGATCGGTAGGGGTGTTCGATTCACTCGAAGAAGCGCTTTTTCTGCTTAGTGGGACCGGCAGAGTACTTGGAATTTTATCAAGTTTTTCTGCTTCGGAGTTNGAATTTTATCAAGTTTTTCTGCTTCGGAGTTCGAATCAGATTCGTATTTTTTTGAGAGGGGTGGTTGTTTGAAAATAGAACGTAATTTATTTATCAAATCTTTAGTGTGACTATTTATCGGCTGTTCTGCGTTTAAAAATGACAAAATATTAAGTAATTCCCCTTTTGTACAATAGCAAAAATAATACCCTTTCGTATCTTTTTTTAAAATTTCAATTTTTTCTAAAAGGGAGATTTGTTGAAACTGTTTCGGTAAATAGAGCCGTTTACTTTCTCGTTTATAAACTTCGAATATAGTGCTTTCGTAAATTAGAGTTGCTCCTACCGGAAATTTTATAAAAGCGGTATGGTCAAAAGCCTTAGAAACAGAAATACCTTTTTCTTTCCAAATGAACTAATAACCTGATCTAGTGTTAGTTCCAAAATATTACTATCAAAACCTAATAGATTCCAAACTCTTTCGGTAATTCTACAAGTTTGATTATTAAAGGTGCGTTTTAAATAATAACTATAGAGAGGCATATAAACGTATATAAAAGATTATGTAACTCAAAGACTTAATTTATAGTTATACCTAACTATACAATTGTTACTATTATAATAAAGTGAGCCAATAATAAATAAAAAATATTTAATTTATAAATTAACCATGAAAAGCGGTATATAAAAATTGTAGTACACTTAGGGGAGGATCCCTTACTGAAAGTTTAAAATAAAACAGAGATCGGCGCCTCCACCAATTGTTACGTCGCTATTTAGGGGTTGAACCTAAATGCTCGTCAACAGTATTCTTAGGGACCAACGAGGGATAGCTGGCTAGGCTATATCTACCTTAGGTACTGAAGTTTCCTATTTAATTTATATTCCCTTAGAGGAACTACCAAGGGTCGCACTNTTAGGTACTGAAGTTTCCTATTTAATTTATATTCCCTTAGAGGAACTACCAAGGGTCGCACTACAATATATATATATAACACTTTAGGTTAACAACGATATAAATAAATATTTATTAAGCAATTGAAATATTAAATGGATAATACAACCTGCTGGACACCTAGAGATGTTATAATCCAACAGGGAGCTGACGGCGACACACACACACACTATAATATACGGGTAGCGAAGTTAAGTTAATTTGAATTAATTTAAATGAATTATTGTTTCAATATTAAATGGCATTTAAATTTTTAACACAACATTATTCGTTTATTAAATATAAAACATTTAATTGTTGAGTTAATATAATCGTATAATCCATTTTCTTTTAATTATATATTTGTGTAATGATAAAAATGTTACTAAAAAAGGAAGAAAAAGCGATAGACATTTGATGATAGAAACCAATATTTACAATATTGTATTTGTTATCACATTACAATAATTTTTATAATATAGTTACTGGTTAATCGTTATTATTATAATAGTAAAGTATTCTTGATTATTCAAAAATACAATTATCATGGAAACAAATAACTTTTAATAGAATTCGACATTTTCTTAGTCAATTTAGAAAATTTGGATTTTTAGTACTTTTAAATAATAATAATTTTCTTCTTCTCTTTTATATTATAAATTATTAATCATATTTGCAAGTATTTAATATTTCATGGATATAAGATAAATTATAAACGGTGTTGCAATTTGCATTGGAATGACTTACAATAGTGGTTTTAATCACAGTTAAATTTAAATCTTAACAGATTTTCCATTTGGACGGAACTTTTCTATTGACACACCTAGAATAAAATTTCAGTGAGTGTTATTTTTATTTAAGAACACATTGTATTCTACATTTTCTGTGAGGTCGATATCACATAGCTTATAGTTGATTATACAACTAACTGTATTTAATTTTATTTTGGAATATACTTCACTTCAGTTTAAACTACATTATACTTTTTGTCCCCCACAAAAATATATCTAATACACATATAATTATATACGAGATTTGATATCTTAGATTAATAAAAATGATGTGCATTAATTTATTGAAAATTTTATTTAACTATATGAAATTTAAACAAAAAAGTTGGTTCATTAATGATACCTCTTTTTTATCATAATCTATATATACATATATGAAGTATATTATATATATACAGGGTGATTTTTTTATCATAACCCACTCAATTACTTGCAGAATAATAATAATTTAAACATTTTCTTTTTTCATTATCTTTAGTTACACATTATTCTTGAATTTTTAACTATGTAATACTTTTTAAGTTCATCCCTTATGCCTTGGAAGGGGGTCAACTTTGTTTTTTTAAATGGTAACACATATTTTTAATTTAATAAAATGTTTGAGTTTTTAATTCAATAGTAAATGGCATTTGAATTTTTAATA